GGCTCATAAAGAAGAAGCCCTATAGTTACTGAATGATTGCAAGACAGAGACAGACAGATCCTTCCTCTACCCACACTGGAATATAGTTGGAGTAAGGTGCTATATATTCAAAAGATAATTAACCTGTTTGTATCAGAAATCAAATTTCCTTGCATCTGTCAAAAATTTATTATGTCTTGGGGCATGAATGTAATAATAACAAAATCAAAGACTCTTTTTTATCCTCTGCTAGAAGTTGGGTATCTTTTTAAGGATTTCAGATCTGTAATGAGCATCTGGATATGTCCAAGTGATTCCTCTCTTCTCTGAGGCACCACCGCCTGCCTCCCTCCACCCTCACTGACTCCACACTGACAAATATAACCCTTCTTTTGAAGACTTGCTTCTTCTCCTTCACTCTTATTCTCCTAACTGGGGCTGCCCATTATACAACGCAGGCTATGGGGATTTGTGAGCACAACAGGGTCTCTAAGAATTCTTTTGTGAATTGCCAACTTTTAGAATTGAAACAGAGGGAAAACATAGGCCTTGCTTTCAAAAGAACCTTATTGAAAAAGCAGGCTAAAAAGAACACAGTTGTCCTTGGGTTCTACAGGGTATCAATTCCAGTACCCCCAGAGGTTATGAAAATCCACAGATGCTCAAGTTCCTTGCATAAAATAATGTAGTATTTTTATATATCCTACAAATCTTCCCTCATACTTTTAAAATTTAAAATATTGTTTCTATACAATTATGCCTAATGGTGGAATCCATTGTTACATATTCATACATGCACATAATATAACAACATAATTTGGCCAATATCATTCCTGCCTTTATACTTTAATCATCTCTAGATAACTTCCAATACATAATACAATGTAAATACTATGCAGGTGATTGCTATACTATATTGGTTACAGAAAAATGACAAGAAAAACATGTTAGCTACATGTTCAGTATAGATTCAATTTTTTCCCAAATTCTTCAATCCACAGTTGGTTAATCTATGGATTCAAAATCCAGGGACATGGAGGACCAATTATACTAAATTTTTGCCAGTATGTAGAGAGGGATATTGTTCCAGGTCCTGGTTCCAGCTGCCACTTATGTGGGAACACGTTCCCCACCTCATTAAACCTGCAGTTTACTCATAGAAAGTAAAATTCTATCGTGCAAAAAAAAAAAAAAAATCAAAGCAAAACAAAAACAAAATAACTACCCATTTTCTAAAGGCAATATCCATTCTCTCAAGCCTCCCATCAAATGCATGAAAGGTATGATCTTTATTTTATAGATAAAGAATCAGAAGCTCAGAACAGAAGGTCAATGTACCCAAGGCATCCAATTAGGAGCTGGGCTGTCATTCAAAGATGGATTATTCAGGATGTCCAAATACTACCACTCAGCTTCTTCCTACTCGGGTATTCTCAACACCAGTTTGAGCTCAGTGACTTTAGACAGAATGCAGTTAGTGCAGGTCTTCCCTTCATTAATAAACATAGATGGTATTGATCTTAATTAACTCCTGGGGGTTCTACAGACTTCAGTTAAATAACCTTGATAAAGTGCTCTAAGAATATAAATAGACATTATTTTAGACCACACTGTTAGAGATAATATTTGCCTCTTGCAACATCAATAATTGGGAAGCAGAAAAATAGTGATTTTTAAGGGAACCTTTAAAAATACATAAATATTTGGTATAAGTAACTTAATTGAATATTAATATGTTTGTTTTGGATGCCAAAATATAATTGGTATTTCAAGAGACCTAAAATTAAAATCAAGAGAATCCATTTCTAGAAAATTGAATCTTTGTACTTTTGTAAACATTCTTTTTTTTTTTTCAACCAATTGGATTTTTAATTGCATGCTTCTTTGGTCTCAGTGCTTAGTTAAAGAACTAAACTGACCCTGGTCTTCGAGGTCAATTATTAACACAAATCTGAATAGTGCTCTGAACCACAAACTTAGGAATGAGAAAAAATAGATGCATGCAAACCAAAGGAAGATAAATTTGTGTGTGAAACTAATTTTCCTCAGAAGAAAAATAGATATCTCCTTCAACATAAGGGTGCATTCAGATTTGTTTTTCATATTAGTAACTTATTTAATATGGCAATGGGCAAAAAGCAATCTATTAAAAAAGCAATTTTCCTCTTACCATGGGGTGTTTTATCATTTGATGTCTAGCATTCAATCAGAATGTGGCAATCTTTTAATATTTTATGAGCAGAAAACAACTCATTTGGGCATGTAGACTCCAGAAACGTGAAAGTTTTTTCTAAGCCTTGAAATTTATCCTGAATGGCCTTTACAGATGCTGGTAAGAAAAAGGTCAAACTGGAAACTTGAACTTCAAAGTTCAAAACATTGAGAAAATTATGTTTTAGAATAGGCAAACATTTAGGCATTTACTTTAAAATATAATGTATTCAACTCACAGGAAAAAGTATCAGTTCCAACTCATTCCTCCACTTTCTGAAATCTAAGACATTATAGAAGCTACTGGGGGGACAGGCACTATATCTGGTTCATATGTACACCATGTGCTCCTGGCACATTTTAAGTGTTGAGTAGATTTTTATTGAATAAATGAATAAATGCATTTGTTGTTTTAGATGAAAGCAAACTGGCCTGACAAGACCAGGACCCAGCCTGACTGTAGACACCAGCTTGACCAGATGCTGCGTGAGTTGTGGCAGAATGTTAGGGACTTTCTCTTCACCAGAAGGTGGGATATAGAGTAAGCTACAGTGCAAGAAGAGCATCTCCATCACCTCTGGCACTCTCTACAGCATTTGCCTCCATCTCCATTCTGTTATCTCAGTCTAGAGGAATGGGGTTCTGTCCTGCTTCTAGGATTGACTACCAAGTCTTCAAAAGGCCAAGAGAGCTACTCTATACCTGCCAGGGGTCAAATCCTGTCCCCTACTCTGTACCTACCTCAACCCTAGGCACACAGCAGGTGCTACCTGGAGGAAGACAGGGCTCAGACTCTTGCTACCATGGTTCTCCTCTGCCCACCAGATAGAGACCCACAGACCCAAAACTCTGCCTAAATTAGGGCTGCCTTTACTCTGTCCAGGCACACTGTGGAAATTGGCTATGTTTTCCAAGTCAATCCCTTCAGGTTGCAAATTATCTGACCTCAAGAGAATCTTCTCACAGCTAACTCCATGATCTTAGCCACAAAATGAAGACAACACACCCAGACCATCACCCAAAATATGACCAACCATTTTTGGATATTTTGCCCTGGGGAAAAACCGGGGCTGTAAGAGGATAGTGAGGTTGGTGAGTAATTTCCCCAAAGACACATGGTCCTAAATGGCAGAGAGGAGAGAACTCAGCTTTTCTTCACCAACAACATTCTCCTGCTTCTACATCATATCACTATGGTAGACATGTCCACAGGGAAAAGGAGAAGAGCAGAAAGCTGGGTACCTCCTGCTGCCCTCGAGAGGACAGCAGACAGCCACAGTGTCACTGGGTAGGATGGGAAGGGTTGGTGAGAGAGAAAGGGGCAACAACTTGAACCCAGATCAGAGCCTAGAAGAACAGATTGTTTCCCAGTTCCAAAAAATTTCAGATGGGCTTGAGATGCTTTAAATCGAGGGACTTTCAACAATTCCCCCTTCTGAAATTGAGATAAACATGAAATTGTCACAGTGATCAGGTGGATAGATCCAGTGGGATTTGTGTGATTTAGGACTTCCATCCTAAGTTGAATAAACAGTAAGCATTACTGCTGCCTGCGATCTCAGGAGCTAGTTTAATTAGGGGGTGGGACAGATAACTCATGTCCAAGATTGAAATCTTAACATCTGATAAAAAGTAAATGAGAGCAGATTAATACAGAAATCTCCAGGTTAGGTTGCTACCATCATAATGTGAAAATGCGCTGATTGGGTCACATAAAAGTAATGAACTTCATGCAGTTCCAGATCAAAGGTCAGTTTCTTCTCAGGACCCATCCTCACTGGAGGGGGACAAGGCCTTCTGCTTGGTCAAACACACTCAAACTCTTAGCCTTTGCTAAGTACTAAATTTTCTAAGTTGATCTCAGCAGCAGCTTTAATCAGTCCTACAGTGTATATAAAGATCACCCCTCTTTTCAATTTAATCATTGGATTCCTTCCCATTCATCATTCCAGACCATTATTTTAAGCTCTCAAGCAGAAGACTGCATATTTATGCTTTCCCAATAATACCCAACACCCCAATGATTTCCTGATATAAAGAGTCTTCTCCAGCACTGATGTTATTAAGGCTAAGAGCAAAGATTTATAAATTTGCTGGCTCCATAGATGTGGGAGGGAGTCGAAGTCAGCCACTTTAAGGATGTCAACATTGACAATGAGAGTGGGGACAGGTTAAGTCATATCCACCTTCATTGGTTAAAGCCAAATCTTGCCAATGAGCAACAGACATGAAAACTGGCCTCTCCTCTTTCTCCAGCCATCCTCTTGCAAAATTAACAATATAAGTAAGAAAAAGAGCCATAAGTATATCTCTGACTATATTTTTCAGTAGCAGCTACCCATTTTCTTCAATAATTCCTTTTCCCTTAGAGAAAGTATTCTGTACAACAGAAACACTAGGAGCAAGAGAATTTCATTAAGGTATTTAATTTTTCTTTATAGAGAAAAATGGTTTTGAAAGAAAGAAGAGAAAATGATCTACTGGTAGATTATGAACTGGAATTTTAAAAAAAAAAAAAGAGTTCCACATTTTCCTAACCTGCAACAAGACTGCTATAATATACATTCATTTTTAACATATTTGAAACTCAGTCATAATATCTGCAAAATTCTCCACTCTCATAGGTTTCAATGTTTCTATCCAGAACAGACACGTGGAAATGCATACACTGTAAATCCAAGCCAAAGAATAACTGATCCAGAGTAGTGATCGTGAGAAGCAGTCAGCACCTTGGGATTCTTTGCATAGGTTGGGGACCTGCAGCTGGGTGCTGCCAAGCTTCCCGCCAGGTGGCAAACAAGAGTACTTACGCAGCTCGCCCACTTTCAATATCTCACACAGCATCTTGGTCAGCTCTATACTACTGCGGCCAAAGGGACACTCATGCTTATCTTCTCGGCTACTGTTCTCCAGCACGATCTGCAGTGGAAAAGGATATAGGTCAGAAAGGGAAGTCAGTGACTGAAAAGACCCAGAACACTGGCTCCATTCCAATAGAGGAGCTCCAGATCCCCAAACTAAGATTGTCAGGGCCAGGGCAAAAAAAAAAAAAGCACATAACATTGAGTATGCAGGACCCTAAATTCTCAAATTTTCCAAATCTCTCACAACAACTCTCTCTGATTTAATCAGGAAATATTTTGCATCTTGGTTTCCATTTACACAGAGGTATCTGTGGGGAAGTTTTCAAAACAGTGCAATGAAGATTTTTTTCACTTAAGTGACAATACTACAGTCCTGTCGTTCCAGTCCTAGCTTCCCTTTCTTGGGAACAGCAAAATCTTCTGTGGCTTCAATTCCTATGTTTCAATTGTACATTTCCTATGGAAGTTTCTGTGTTCTTGCAAGATCTCACCCCTGGCATCAGTTGACTGAACCACTTCTGCAGGACATGTGACACAAAATGGACCAAACAAAGTCCTCCCTGAGCCATCTCCTAAAAGGGGAAACACTGGTCCACCTAAGCTGATGGCGGTCAGGTCAGAAGTTACCCAGATGTTGGCCTGCAAAAAAAACGAAAAAGAAGCCCAAGTGCAAAGAAAAACAGATGAGAATAGTATTTGGGTCATGGGGTCCACTTATTCCTGTAGCAGAGCTACTTCCCTGGCCTCATGGTTTGTTTACTTGGTTCTTCCTCTGAAAATCCTTTATTTCATGTAAGAAATTCTCCTCTTTCCTTAAGCACCTCAATATGTTCCCATCACTTAAATTTAAGGGAAATATTCTACACATAGATTAAATAAGATCAGAACAGAGCAACAAAACATTCAGGTAACTAAACTTCTAATTCAAGTCACAAAAGGAAAAATTCCCAAGAAGGCTAGTTATTTCTCTGTCTTATACGCCATTTGTTCATGTCTAAAGTTGTTCCTGAAACTCTTCTGCAGTAAGCAAGAGTTGCCTGGTACCTCCACAGTGAGGCTCTGCAGAGACTGACTATCCCTTTGTTTCCCCTTTGCTCTTGTGTGGACATAATTTTAGTGTCCCCTAAGGCTTCATATGTTGAAATTTCATCCCCACTATGAGGTATTAAGAGAGGGAAACTTAATCTGACCATGATGTTTAGAGATGGACCTTTGGGAGGTCATTAGGATTAGATAAGGTCATTAGGGTAGAGCCCCATGACTGAATACTGGTAGCTTTATAAGAAAAGGGATCAAGATCAGAGAAGACACACATGTATGCTCCTTTTCTCTTGCCATGTGATATGCTATACCACCTCAGAACTCTGACAGCAGGAAGGCTATCACCAGATGTATGTTCTTAACCTGAAACCTCTAGAACTGTGAGCAAAATAAATCTTTTTTATTGTACAAAGTTATCCAGCATCAGGTATTTCACTATAGTAACACAAAACAAACTGACACCTATCTAAATTCTGGGTAGCAAAGTGGTGGGGATGGTATTTGATCAACTTGATCAACTATACACGTGTGTGTGTGTGTATGTGTGTGTGTGTGTGTGTGTGCATGCACACTCACACACACACAGTTGTTTTTTTTTTTTTTCAGAGCTGAGAAAAGAACCAGGGCTTCACACACACTTGGCAAATGTTCTACCACTGAGGTAACATCCCTAGCCCTTAATCAACAATATTAATCAAGTACCTCTTATTTTACCAGGAAGATAGCTGAGCCTCATCATATGAGGAACCAGGTAAGTAAAATTCCTGACCTCTAAGTATTCATTACAATTAAAGTGAGACAGATTAAAAACAAAAGAGGTAGCTACAGGTCATCACAGGGGCTAATGAAAATAAAATAATTTTTAAAAATTATGATAAAAAGTGACAGGGAAATCTTCAGGGAGAGAGTTTAGATGACATGATCAAAGGAGGTTCTCTGACTATTGAGAATCAAAAGATGAGAAAAGGAGCTTTGCTATGTCAAGGTCTGTAAGAAAGAAAACACTGCAGATAGAAGGATCAAGGTCAGTGTTGCCTGAGGGAAGCTGGGTGCATTTCAGGCAGCCCAGCACACTGCCTGATCTACAGCATAGAGGAACTTGACCTGGTGCAGGGCAACTTCCAAGACCTGGAGGGGCCAGTCTGGAGCAGAGTGAGCAGGGAAGCCCAGATGGTAGGGGAGAGACCCAGAGGGAGCAAGGAAGGCAAGGAGGGGAAGGCCCTTAAGAAAGAGAGATCAGAAGAAGACAACTTGGAGGAAGGGAAAAAGAAAGCCGAGGGGGTGAGTGTGAAGGAAAAGTAAGCACAAGAGCTGTTTTATTGAGGCAGGCAGGGTAATTACAAAGAGGAGTGATAAGGACAGCTCATTAGAGGGTTGAGTTATTTAAAACTAAAGGAGTGGGAATTTAATAAAAATGTGCTCCAATTATTTTCTGTATAAACACCATAACAATCACACACACACACACACACACACACACACACACACACACAATTACACACATTTGGCAGTACTCTAATGACAAAGTGAACTGTTTCCATCTATGGATGTTCCTTGCAACTTGACACTTCTACCTGACCCTACGGATCACATTCACAGCTGGCACGCTGGATCTTGACTTTACGTGATGTATCACCAGCAGTTTTCACAGCCTTTGTGATCATCCAAGGAGCTGATGAACTATGCCATTTCCTGGGATTTTTCAACCATTTGTAACGTACGCTCACATGAATAATCATACATCGAATATTATCATGAACACAGCCTTCACTCTCCTTGAGATGGATGATGAAAAATGCTTCCTTACAATCTCTCTAGGTAGGTAGCACATGTTATGGGCTGATTTTTCTCGAAGAAAGCAGAAGGGGAACTCCAACTACACCCTTTCTCCTAGCTGGCAGTGAAGGGCCATGGCTGGAGTCCTGGAAAGCCTCATCTCCTCTGCCTGGTCTGCCACAAAGAATCTCCTTAGACCCATGTCTGAATCACCCTCTTTCTCTTAAGGGAATCCTTCCTGGTTCTAACCAGGGATTTCAGTTCAGGGAAAGCAGGAAGGGAGAACAACCAAGTCCCCATCAACCAGGGAATCATATATCTCTTTTAAAAATCCTATGTTTGAGACATCCAGATCAATAAGCAAATCTGAATCTCCTGATGATGGGAAGACGAATGGGGGCGGGGGAGGGGAGCACGACAGTGAGAAGACAGGCATAAAGAAAAGACAGGAGACAGGTAGTTTTCAGCTGGCTCTGGGATCCCAGCTCCCAGCGAGCACATTCCCTTGTATTTCACATTAACATTCTATTAACATTTCATGAGCGCATCAATATTTAATGAGGATGTGATCCGCATACACTGTAGGTAGAATTACTGCAGCCAATAAATGTTCGGGAAACATTTCCAAGGCACAGTTTATTAGCAGGCACTAAATTAAGTGGTAATTTAAGTAATCAATATGTAAATCCGCTTGAAGAAGCCCTTCTCTTTACTTTTTAATGTACTGTCCATCTTCTCATATTTACCCACCCAAAGAAAAATAAACCCTCCTTCCTGACTGATTTCTGTAGTCAAAAAAAACCCCCAGATATTTAAAGTTGCTTAAATAAGCTTTAAGATCGAAATTCTTACAAGAATACCTTAGAAAAGACTACGGTTATGTCTCTTACCAATTAGATATTACTATAGTGAGAAGTCATTCTTAAATTAGATACTAGATTTTATTTTTTTAAACACACTGATACATCTATATGCACCTTCAATATTCTGGTATTAACCAATGTCCACTTGAGATGTTTAGAAAAGTTCCCTTGGAAATATTAAGGCATATTTTGTATCCTTATTTCCCCCTTAGTCTTCACTTTAAGAGCAAATATTCTGGAACAGAACCCACAAAGAATGAAATACTAAAACCTGCTATTGTCACTCAGCATATACCAAAAGAAGTTGTAACTCTCTGCATGCTTTGTAAAATAGACGAACATCTGTCCTCGGGCCCCTTGTCAACCTCACAATACTGTACGATGGTGTGTATTCTATAAGATGCTTCATACAGTGTATTTACACATTCTCTACCAACTTTTCATTACCAAATCTCTTCCTTCCTCTTTATAGTTTACAGATTGGCTTCACATAAGTACTGCTGTGAAACTCAATGCATTTCGTGCCTAAGGAGGCTGAGGGAACTTTCCTTAATTTCCTCTGTCTTGAAATTAAAAGGAGTAGCTGAGTCCCAGCTCCTCCTAGACAGAACTATAAGGTTCTCTTTCATCTCATTTATCCCCTAAAGATCCGTGACCAAAGAGACTGTGGAGTATCCCCTCAGATTTTATATCCATAAATTCTGAGCTCCCCTTAGAATGCTGAGTATTTCTTCTGGTCTTTCTTCAACTATGCAAGTCAGGAACCCTTTGGCTTGGCTTGACCATTCAGTGCTGAGGAGAAAGCCAGCCAGTCCTCCTCTGGCTGCAAGGGCCACCCTTACACTCTTATTTCCAGCATTAACCTGCTGATGTATACCCTGTTGGCTGTGCCTCACCCACTTCCTACTGCTTTGTGGAAGCTCTCTCCACCAGGGCAAACCCAATCCATTCTGTGGCCCAAAGCCATCTCTAGAGGACACCGTTGAAGGCGTCCTGTCATCTACAGGCTTCCCTCCCTTGCTGAACCTTCATGATCTTTGACTTTAACCTGCAGTCAGTACGTGTGTCCTCCTCACAGGCCACTGGGATCTGTGTGAGAAGTCATGTGGTGTCCTCTCCAAAGAGAAGGGATTGAGGGTATTGCCCAGTTCTGATCCCAAGGCTGAATAGTGTGGAGAGCCGGGCAACGTTGCCACTAACTCATGGAGGCTTAAGCAAGGCAATGCATCTCTGTGAGCCATGCGGACATACCTAAAACACAATTTGTAGGACTGCTGTGCCTGTCAAGCTACACATGAAGGCAAAGTGCCCAAAACAAACTCATGGAACTCGTGAGGATGTATAATTCTGCCACAAAGAATCTCATTAGACCTAT